TTTGGTTAGTTTGCTTACTGTTAAGCATGGTTGAAAAAGGCAGCTGGCTGTGCAACATGCAGAATGAGATAAGTCAAACAGAAATTGAATTCAGTTTAAATCCAAAAATACTTTATTAATCCCAAAGAAAAATTACATGTTGCAGTAACTCATAGGGTTTATTTTTCAGAAATCAACAGCTGTAGGCAGGAAGGATCTCCTGTAGCAGTCTGTCTGAGTGTAGAGAAGCCTCTGACTGAAGACACTGTTGTTGTATAAAAATCTTCTGAGAAGGATTCTCACTGTTGCTCATAATGTCCCTCATTTTATGAAGAATTCTTCTTTGTGAAAGCATGTCCAGAGGTTTTAGAGGAGTTAGTAGAACAGAGCCGACCTTCTTAAGTAGCTTGTTGAGCTTTTCAAAGTAATTTGCCATGATGCTGTCAATCCGGCAGATGATGGCAGACGAGATCCTTACAGCACATGCAGGGTCAGCAGTCCCTGACTTAAGACTGAATAAAAATGGCTGACAGAGTCAGCTTGAAAATCCATCCATCCATCCATCCATCCATCCATCCATCCATCCATCCATCCATCCATCCATCCATCCATCCATCCATCCATCCATCCATCCATCCATCCATCCATCCATCCATCCATCCATCCTCCATCCATCCACGATAGGATAGTTATAATCCCTGTATCCTATAGTATTGATGATTTGAAATATTAAGAGAAAAAAAAACTGATTGATGTTGATTAAAATAAAAAGATAAATTTTTTATAATAGTATTTTTTATAATAGTATTTTTGATACTATGTTATCAAACACAAATCATAACTCATTTTACTGATCTCTGTTTAAAGTATGAAAAGACACCATGAATTCACAGAAAATACATCTGCTTTTGTTTACCTTTCAACTAGTAGACTATGACGACAATTATTATCGTCTGAAATTTGCAGTGCTTTTATTTTGAAGAGTACAGCGGAACCTAGATATTTGCAGTTTGCTGGAGTTCCTGGATATAGACACGTTCCCGTGGTTACTCTCTGCCATCTGGTGGTCAGGACGCTGGAGAGCGAGGAGAGAGAGAGAAAAAAGAAAGACTCCAACAGTCTACATTCCTGTAAAAGTGTTTCTTTTTTCCTGGATATAATTAGTGTTGCACCGATACCGATACCAGTATCGGACAGGCAGGGGCGGATCTAGAAAAATATTTATGGGGTGGCAAGAGGGGGGCAGGAATTTTTTAGGGGTGGCAAGATATGGTATTTGTTTACACTGAATTTAATCACAGTTATCACAGTTTGGTGTTTCATGTGAAACAGTTCATATTAATAATACATCGTACAATGAGATCTCACTTAATAGGAGATAGAAGAATGATAACACTACTTCTAGAGGGGCCTTATGACAGGAAAGGTATTAAGGTAAGACACAGGTGCTGAGTCGCAGATGTGTGAGATTGACTGTCAGAGAGGCAGCTTTGCAGCATTTGACCAAGAAGAAACTATAGAAAGAAAAAGTTCCCCATCAGAGATCTATGGACTGAGCTGTACTAAAGTGAGCAGAACTACACAGTAGAAATAAATGGGTCAAGGCACCCGAACAAGGTACTGGACATCTATGTAATGTTTACTCTGAACACACATTTACCCCATTTGTTCCTCAGTAATTTGACATACAGCAGTTAAGGCAACATGAAAGGGACATTGCATGCATGTAAATGCTGTAGATAGAGCTGAATATGGAGGACCAACTCTGCCATATTTAAAAATAAATACAGAAATAAATAAATGCTCAATAAATAAATAAGCATACAATTAATTGCCACCAAAAGTACAATCAACAAATAAATGTAATTAGAAATTATATTATAATGGCAGCCAGAAATGTAAAGAGGGCAGGCAGAAAGAAATAGCGGCGAAGAAATAATTAGGGTAAAAAAATACAAAGGAAGAATAAAACAGACAAAAATATGATAACATGCACATAAATACTTAAAAATATAAGTAATGAAAAAATGAAGTTGAAGATAGTAAATGACAAAAAAATAAATAAGGTAAATATTGAAAAGGCAAAGAAATAAAGAAGCCAATTAAAAGAGTTATATACCTTTATGACTAGCTGTATAATTTAATTTCTACTTACATTTATTTGTTGTTGCAATCAATTCTATGCTTATTTATTTATTGAGCATTTATTTATTTATGTATTTATTTTTAAATATGGCAGAGTTGGTCCTCCATACTGCTGTATCAACAAATCAACAAAAAGGCGGGTTCTGTATGTTACATCAAAATCTCCACAAATCTGAAAAGAAGCAACATAAAAATACATTTTGCTTGTGAGTAGGTTCATACAGGTCATTTCTGGATAATTTCATACTATATATACAAAAAAGAAACAACAACACTGCTTCATATTAAGCAGGATTCACACCAGTATCACATTTTAACTTTTAACACTTTTGCTTTTATTAAAGGAAATATCAGATTTTCTCAGGTGCCAAAACAAAATGTAACAGCTCTGTAAAGGCTCACCAGAGAGCATAACATAAAGTTAACATGACTATAACAGCTGAATGCAGTGATTTCAACGTTGCTCAGCAAAACGCTTCACAAATTTATTTAGATCCAATGCCTTTGTGCGTTTGGATTTGAGTTCAACCAAAGTTGATCGTCTCTTTTCTGTCATAGTTGACCGCAAATATGTCTTTATGAGGCTGAGACGTCAGGCCTAACTAACATCATAGATAGAGAAATAACGTTCTGCAACCTGATTTTTATCATCTCAAAATCAGCCTTGCAGCTATGCTAGCAACATTGTGCTCTCATTATGATTTCATTTCTCAATAGATGGTTGATCAGTTTTCACCTTTTTCATCCCGTTTCTCCTCTCCCCATCACCCCTGGCTCCCTCGCTTTGCCCCATTCGGTTTTCAAAACAATCAGTCTCAGTCACTCTCGCGTCATCTCGTGCTGCATTCACTGCAGTCCGACATTAGAAATTAGCAGTCGTAATTCTCAAATGATCCATAATTTATAAGCCTCGCCACCCCTACCGCCAACTGGGGTGGCAGCTGGGGTGGCAAGGCTGTCATTTAGGGTGGCAGTTGCCACCCTATGCCACCCCAGTAGATCCGCCTATGTGGACAGGGCTCCAATACTGCACTAAAATGGTGGTATCGATATCACCGACTACCAACAAATAGGGCACCAATACCACTCTGAGAGCTAAAAGTTTATTCAACTATTGTCACCCATTCCAGGTAGGCAATATAAAGTTGTACTGGATTCACTTTGTATTAGTATTTTTCCTGCTTCACAAAGGTAGTCAGCAGCTTGACAAAGCCACGATGACAATTATTTTACATCCAAAATGCAGTTCTTCATTATACACACACACATCAATTCCAAACAGATGGTATTGGTATCAGCCGATACTGCACAGTCAGGCATCGGGCCCAAAAAATGGCATCAGTGCAACACTATACATAAGCACCTTTCTGTCTCTGGTTGTAACTAAAATACAGTTCACTGCAATTGAAGTGGCTGAATCAGCATCTGCACCAAGCCACAAATCCACAATTAATTTAGGTCTGTTCTTTGACTAGGCCATTTTTAGAATGGTATATGCTTTGATGTAAACCAGGGAGCATCCCAGTGACATTTTCTACCAGTGTAGCCCAATAAAGTCCTTTAGAGACACAAATTAATGTTAAAAGGCAATTCATATTTCCTTTATGGGATTGTTTTGGTCATTTTTAAAGAACCAATATTCTATTTACAGTTTTAGGTTTTAAAAATAAAAAAAAGTCTAAAAGTTGTTTATAAGCTTTTTAAACCTTGTGTTAAAAAGAAAAAAATTCCAAATGAATATGACTGAAAACTTGGCTCTGGTAGTTAAGAGAAGGATTTTCATGAAAAATAAGAAGAACCACTAAAAAAATAACCTTTACAGAAACAACCTGGCTTATACTGAGATTTTATTGCAAACAAATTGGCTCTATTTACTAGTTAGATGTAGCTAATCAGCAGCAATGGATTCAATTTAAGGTTGAGTGAAGGGGGTGGCATGCTCTTCTCATTTCTATTAGTAAAACATTTTGAAACCCATGCAAGCGTGCATTGTTTAGTATGTTAAGTGAGCCATAAAGTCAAGGTTGCACACTTCTGATTTAACAGGCAAAAACTGTGATTCAATCTTAGTGTGGCTTAAGTTTAAAGCTGGCTTAAATTAGATGATTTGTTAAGGTAAATTATCTAGGCAAACTATTAAACTGATCCAAGGGACATCAGTAACAGTCTCTTCTCTTATTGCATAAATTGCATTTCAAAGGAAGTATTTTACAGAGCTGCAAAAAAAGATCTAAAAAGTAAAAGCATTCTTGAAACAAATGCATTTGCCCTTAAATGAGATGACCTTCCAATGGAATTGATATTTCCGCTCTTAGACAGGATAATCAGATATTTAGCACATAGTTTTTTGTTTTATTTTAAACACAAATTATCTTATTCCATCTGCAAATTGTCTTAACTCCTAAAAATCAAAGGAAAGTACAATTATTTGAAGAAAACCGTCCTACTATTGAATATTTTTGCTGTGTTACAGGGTGAATAACAGTGACCAGGGCCAGGGGGACTGGCTCCCAAAGCTTATTGGAAATAGTTGTTTTGTTTATTATATAAGGCCTATTCATATCAAATTGATCATTAATCATGTTTGAATAAATATTTAGATGAATTTCTTTATTTGAAATTATTCCAAAGGCGTCATCTTCCATTTTTGCTTTTCTTATTCCTTTTTTTCTACATATTTAGTATTTGTAGCAGTGAAATGTGAGTCTATAGGAGTGCGCAAATCTTTGCTGTTTGCGATCGCGCCGTTACTTTTATCAGTGCGTGTGCATGCATGAGACTGACGGTGTGATTTCATAACGTGGTGAGGAAGAGAGAGAGGAATGGGTCTCTGAGATATCAGCTCATCCATCCATCCATCCATCCATCCATCCATCCATCCATCCATCCATCGGTGGGCCCTGTGCAGAGCAGCAGAGCGCAGAAACCTTCCCTGCTGTCCGCCGGTGCCGTGCAGACGCTGCGCTAGAGGAGATGCGCCATAGCGGAGGCTGCTGATGCTGCTGATCTTTGCGTCTTGAGCATCATCGCCGCGACGGCTAAAGAGAGAGAGAGCAGGCGGAGGGGGAGTCAGGAACACGGCAGACAGGACAGCAGAGGATGGAGTTCAAGCATCTGGTGGAGGCGGCGGAGAAGTGGTGCTCCGGGAACCCGTTCGACCTGATCTTCGCCGAGGAAAACGACGAGAGGAGGCTGGACTTCTACGCAGAGCCCGGGGTGTCTTTCTATGTGCTGTGTCCCGGCGGCACCGACAGCTTTGTGAGTGAGAATCTGCAGGGCCTCAACTTGGCTAATGTGTGTGTTTCTGTAGGTGTATGGGCTGGGTGGGAAGTAATGATGGAAGTGGGATGAGAGGGGAGGGAGGGGGACCTGCTATGATGTCATTATAGTCTACCTTTGCATCTTTCACTCTTATGTTTTCCTTATTATTACCTGCAGAAATTGATGGCCAGCTTAAACTGTTAGTTTTAATATCGATGTGGCTCTCTGTTCAGGGCTGCGTAGGCTGGGGGAGGATGACTCTTTTAGTGTGTTGAAGCAGTGGCTCTGATTTGAGGTCTCTAAGCTTTTTGTCCTCATGGAAACTCATAGGTGATGGTTGTAATGCAGACAGACCTGCAAATTAAGAGCTGCGCTTTTTATTTTCCTTAATAGACCAGATAGGCCTGCCTTACTGCAGAAAATCCCCAAGGTAACAGAAGTGCATCATCTGCAAAAAGATGCACAGTTTCTGAGGTTTTCCAAAGAGGATCATATATATATATATATATATAGATAGATAGATAGATATAGACAGACAGACAGAAAGGATAGATAGGATAGATGGATACACACACATATATCTATATCTATATCTATATCTATATCTATATCTATATATATATATATATATATATATATATATATATATATATATATATATATATATATATATATATATATATATCTATATCTATATATATATATATATAGATAATAAATAGATAGATAGATAGATATAGAAAGATATAGACAGACATACAACCAGAAAGAAAGACAGATTTTTTTATTCCACTTATATGTCTGTATTTTATCTGCTTTCTTTCTTTTTTTTCCTCCTTATTATTACTATTTTGTAATTTTATTTAATTTTGCACAGCACATCAATCAGTCTGTTGTTGTAAAGCTCTTCATAAATAGAATCTAGTCGATTTCATTGCTAGTCTCATGATTGGTGAAATAGATATATTTGCCTATAGCTTAATGAAAGCTTGTTTTTATGTATTTTATCATCAAATACATCAAAACAAGTTAGATTTCCGAAAACTTAAGTATAGATTCATATCAGATGCTTCCTTGAACTCATTCCCAGTAGCACATAAGAAGAGGCCTTGATGTTAGACTGCTTTCAAAATATGTTCTTGATGCACAAATCTTCTATAAGCTAAATATCCTAGTGGTAAATGCAGCACAGCTTGGATCAGGCACAAACTGTTTTCTAAGAGCTTGCTTTATCCTACAGCCATGTGATGCAGTGGTGGAGTTATGAGTCCTAAAGTCCCAGAAGCCCAATCTGCTCTCCCTCCTCCTCCTGCTCCCCCGCTCTCTGACATGGCCAATAGGGCGGGAGCAGATGGAGATGACCCAGGAGTCGGGACGTCTGTTCAGTCAATAACACATTATGTCACACAGACCGTGCCTCTTTTGTGTTTGCACACCTCGTCTGGACGCTCCCACAGACAGCAGAGCAGGACCACAGTGGGACTTGTAGATTGCGGCTGATGTAATGTAGCTGAATCATTTGTCTGCATTATCAAACACTGTTAAAGAAGCAGATTGTAATCAAAAAGCAAACTAAACAACAGCACATCCTTTGTATGATATCTATCACTTTCCCCTGTAGTCTTCTCCTTACTCTTTAAGTCCTCCCTGCTGACTTACAGTCCTCTCCTTCTCTGTAATCTAATCCATGTCAGATGTCTGTGCAGCTCTTCGTCTCATGTACTCATCCTCTCCTACATGCACAGCCAAACAGTCAGAGTTCACAGCTGTGCAGTCTCAAACTTGCTGCAATAGCAACCTGTCACCGGCCCCCTGACATCAGAGCCCATGCAAAATGATATGAAGCCCTACATAGAAATCCCATTGGTGGCACCTCACCAAAACACCACTTCTGCTAAAATCCCTGTTCAAAAATCTTAAAACGCTCCATTGTTATATTTTCCGTAACAGATCTGATTATTCTGATTCTTGGATGTAGAGAAACTCTTTTCAGTGACAAAATATCGTTATATATCTAGGTATTTTGGACTTAAAGATGATCAAAAGGAGTGCAGACGTATTGGAAAAAAATAATTGTGATATAGGCAGGTCATTTGGCATTAATGGGAAATTATGGAGATGCTGCCCGAGCCATAACACACATGCAAGAAATTCATCCGGGTTGCCATAAATAATAGAATTAAACTGCTGAATGTAATTATTCATATCCTTAAAACATCAACGAAGGCTAAACTACATCGTATAAAATTATTAAAGACTTTTCTGAGTGAATTGAATGTTTTACGTTCTGTCCATTATATTGATTGTAGTAATGGGATATGCTCAGAGCATAATCTGAGTACATTGTGCCTATCTGTATTTAGTTGTGTCTTTATTTTAATGATGTATTATAAAAGAATTTGAAAAATAAAACTTTAAATTACTACAGTACAAATCCAAAGCCAAAAATAAAATTAGCTGCTGGATGTAGATTACAGTAGGATCCCAAGTCTGGGACGGATCGGATGCAGAGGAGTGATATAACAGAAAGAATATAAACGCATTTATTCTCTCAGAAATGTCATTATTAACCTTTTACACATTGTAGTTTATTGTGATTTATGGAGAAAAAAAACAACATTTTAAGGCCACTCAAAAAGGCACTACCTCATTTTCACAAAAAACCAACCGTATGCTTTTCTACGATACATAAAAGCTGAAAATTTCAACTCGATATTACCCATAAGACATTTAAATTTGACACGATATATTAGATAGAATCATTCTATGCTATTTTAAGGTGACCAGAACTAATTTCTCTTTAGAATCAACACATGTAAAAACTGTCTAATTAAGATTAGAAAATGTTGTCTTGATCTTAATTATATATGTGATCCATAAATGTGAAGAAAGGTTAAAATATAGAAGGTTTATTTGTCTTTAACTCTTTATCTTGTTCCAGTCGGGGCTCTGTTTATTACTGTGTTGGGCTGTATCATCAGAGCTAAACGTCAACAAAAGGTTAGACAATGAGTAATATACAGTCATGGATTACATTTTGATATTTATTCTTTATGATAATTAATACCCAATGAAATATTTATTTTTTATTATAACAGGTGATACTAAATGGTCTTAGAGGAGCATATTTTAAGTCTTCCTTCTGGCCTACTGTGTGTCAGAATAAAAGCCCTCAGACGTTTTCAGCACTGGGTAACCTGTGCCATAGTTTCTCCTGCAAGCGTGACTGGACACCTTAATACCATTGATAATAGATAACCTAACAGTCTGGCCTTTAGACTCTGATTAAAGGAAAGTCTACTAAGCAAAGGGAAGTTTGGTTTAATCATCTCGGTACTCTTGGATCTGATATCTGTGGTTAGTGGAGATTCCTTGTGTTTGTTGGAAGGGGTCACATCTCCCAGCGGAGAAGCAGAATTAATGTCTCACAGAACATCTTGAGACAGAAATATTTTCACGTTCTTCTATGCTAAATATATTTAGCTTACTCAGGTTGGACAGAGAGCACCTGTGAACATTGATTTTCAAGTCTTCCTTTGCAGTTCCTGCTCTATGTTTTGGGTCATCGTCCTGCTGGGAGGCTAAACTCCGCCCCACTTCTTAGCCTGATTCTGCCTTTAACAAGTTACCTTTTAGCATTTACAATCCATCCAGCTTCCAAACAACTAAACTCACTTTCCTCGGCCATGCTTAAGAAAGTAATGATGCTGCCACCATTGTTTACAGCTGCAATGTTTTCTGCAGGTTGCAGTGTTTAAAAAGTTGAAAAGTTTGGTCTAATTAAACCAGAGAACCTTTTTCCACTTGTTCACTGTGTTCCAAGCATGGCTATTGGGACAAAATATGAAGCAGACAAAAAGGGGGGGACTCTGCTCACAAATGTATCTGATGGAAGTAAATCTTAGCTACGTATAAGAAGGGACTGATTACTAATGTCATATTTATTAGATTTTAATTCTTGACACTTTGGATCTCTTGCCCTTCGCTTCGCAATTATCCTCCACTTTGTGTTAGTCAATGAAATAAAAAGAAGTCTTTATCCTTAACATGTTTAAGGTGTAATAATACATTTATAATCAGCTGTATATGGATAAGAAGAGAGGCAAAAACAACAAAAAGTTACATATTTTACATTAAAGGTATAGTGGGGGATTTTCATGAATTGCACCTAAAAAAAATGCACATGCACAACCCTGTACCTGCTCCTGAGAGGGAACAACTATTAAAACATGTGTGAGAGCATGCACAAGCCCATTTCTCCTCGTGCACGCTCTGTTTAAAAGTTGTTTGCATCGCTCATACAAGCTTGTTTGCAATTTTTTCACTATGTCAGACACGTAGGACAGCCTTATGTAACATATCACCAGAATGATTGACAGTTATGAGGACCACTTATTTTGATGATCCACCCAGAAAAAGGACATCCTCCAATATACCTTTAAGAGTAAAAGCATCAGTTAAAACAAAGGGATGGTGATTATGAAGTAAAGGTGCATTTAAGAATAAAAAAAGGTTATCTATCAAGAAATTGTAGATATTATTGTAGAGAACTCAGTATCTGTGCTAGTGACCCGTTCTAACCCTCTACCTTATTAATATCATGTTGCAGTTAAAATTGTGCTTCATGGGAGGCGTGTCATTAATCAGAGTTTGCCTGTGTGCGTGCAGCATGTTTGGAGCGAGAGCGAGGACTGCCTTCCCTTTCTGCAGCTGGCCCAGGACTACATTTCCTCTTGTGGGAAGAAGACTCTGCTGGAGGTGTTGGAGAAAGTCTTTACGTCCTTCAGGCCTGTAAGAGACTAAGAGCATGAATAAAGGTTTAATTTTTAACACCCTGCTGCTGCAGTAGCAGCACAGTAGCTTCTGTTTGCTGTGGCTGGCTCAGTTTGACTTCATTGAGTTTGTTCTCTCTGTGACTAAACAACACCATGGGGAATTACCTCAAGGATCTGAAATATGATCTTAAATTTAAGACTTTTTATGATTTTTTTTAATATGATCTGCATTACGACAGATGATTTATATATTTAGACATTCTTTTTATTTTTTTAGAATGTTTTTTTTTTTTTTATTAGCATATTTTTCATGGTATTTGTTACCTTATATAATATCAGAAGGATTAAAGTTGTTTTTTCTTGCACTTTTAAAATGCAGAGGGAGCGTTAAACAAAATACCTTTGAAAGAATTATATCTTCATCCATTAATCCTTTCCTGTATTTAAAACTGACTTAAAACATAAGATCATTTTAAACTTGTTGAATATTTAAGATACTATTAAGCCTGAAAACATACCAGACTGTAATGAAAGTCAAAATAAATCAGCTGGTTAAAGAAAAAAGAAGTGCCAACGATTTTACCAACAAGTTCAAGAAGAACATTAGGTTTAAGGTTAAGGTGGTGTTTACATAAACAGGGTTTTGGTTTGATAAACCGGATAGCAAACATACGCTAATATGCTTTTTTCTTTTATGTTGTTGTACTAGCTTCAGTTTATTTTACTCTATCTGGAATGAATTAACCCCTTGAACCCTACGGACCCACCGGTGGGTCCAGCTGCTACGTGACCTCGTAATTCTACCAAACCCCCAGTATTGATGTAAAAAACACATTTGGCACAGTTTGGTGACATTTTTGGATAAATGTGCCAAAATGGCCCCTCCGCCTAAGAAATTTCTCACTAATACCATTCTAAAATAAATATGATTCATCTGATTGAGTCCAAATTTGGTATATTTTTACACAACATTTAGATTTAAAAGTCTGTACTACTTTTTTGTGCTATAAATAATATTTTGGTAGTGTTTTACAATGTTTATTTCAAAGAAAATTTTGGCGAGGTTCAAAAAATGCAAAATATTTTGTATTTTGTCCCTAATATTTCAGACAGGGTCAAAGCTACAATGGTGCTGACACCAGAAAACCATTCTATGACATCTTACCTTTACAGACGTACCAAAAGTTTCTTCTTAAATCTAATAGCTGTGAGGCTATAAGTTATTTACTTTTGTGTGTTTTTGTCAGGCAGAAATTTATTTATACCCCCTTAGGGTGTAAGAGGTTAAAGATGATATTTTACCAGGAACTCATCGATTTTTACATTTAGATCGTGATAAAGATTTTCTGTCATAATTTCTTCCCAGAATTCGTAGAGTGGAACCGTAGAGATGCTAGGCCAGGATAAATAAGAATAACGACTCGCCAAATTAAACATCAGTCTTCTTGTTGAAATACGTTAAGGGTTTCATTTGTTAAATAAAAAACAATCTCAGATCAATAAAAACTAATTATAACATAAATCTGAGGATTTATTTAGTCAAGTTAACATTAAGAATAAAATAATTTGAATCATTAAGAGTTGAATTCCTCTAATTGTTACACCTAAAGCATTTAAGGAAGGGCCGGTTTCCTTTATCAGGGTAAAAAATAATTTGGAAATGTTACTACAATATTGTTAAAGTGGTTTATAATACATTTGCTAAGCTTTAAAATCATTTGAGAAGGTGCCAGAGTAACCTGAGTTTTCTCCAGCATTTTGTGAAATATGGTTCTGCCCCTCTCCTACATGCTGCTGGACACTGCCTTGTCAGCCTGCTGAAAGAAAGCCTGCACTGCAAAAAATTTTAATCTAAGTTAGTAATTTTGTAATTTTATTAAATTTAGTTCATTTTTTCTTGAATTGAGCATGCAAGTAAGGCACTTTGACGATGGAATTAGACAATTTACATTTAAAAAAAACAACAATCTAATCTCCAATCTCTCTCTTTCAAGCATATGCAATCAAATAATCGTATTTTAAAGCTAAATATACTTATATAATAATACTTATTCCGTTCAAATTTAGGGTAAATAAACTTTTTTTTAATTATTTTTTACTAATTTTAATATCATTTTTATAGTGTAGCTTACATGATTTGGTCAACAAACTTGTGGAAATCTCCTTTTACTTTGAAAGGTCAAAAACTAATGCTGTGGATGACAAACACTAAAACTGTAATGAGGAATAGTTAAAATTGTCATTGTAACAATAGGATTAATTGTCACCTTTTGGGGTTTTGAAGGTAATTACATTTTTGCTTTCACAGTTTGTTAAAAACACAAGTCTGATACCAATAATATGTTCCCCTCTTTGTTTGTTAGCTTTTATTTGCTTTTGTCCCTTATTCTGTTATTTTTGTACACTTTTTAAGGTCCACCTTTCAGTGACCCCTGTTGCTATAATCTTTTGCTGCTGTAACACCCCAGTTTCCCCATTGTGGGACAGTAAATGGATTTTCTATTCTGTTCCAGCTGCTAGGTCTTCCAGACATCGAAGATGACAGCTTTGAGCACTACCACGCTGACATGGAGGGGGAGCCTGGGCCCGACCACCAGCAGATGGGGGTCAGCCAGCAGTGATGATCCAAGCAGAGGACGCCCCAAAAACCTGCTCCAGAAGACTTGGGCCTTGATACCTTAGCTCACCTAACAGCACACACTCTTGCAAACCTATAGTAGACATGCTGAAATATCACCACCTTGTTCTTGAATGTTTCAGTGGCTTTGCTTTCCAAAGAGTGCACTTTGTTGACCTTCCTCTTCCTTTTATCAGAGAAACACATAAAAGATTGTATTTCTAAATATATAAGGATTTTTTGTTTGTTCTAGTAATTCCATATACGCCTCGCCAACATCACCAACCCAAACCATTACCAGTATACTCTTAAAGCTAAGCTTAACCACAGCTTAACTGAACCATAACACTAAGCCTAACCCCTAAAACAGTGCCCACCATGTTAGAACTGGTTTTTATCCCTAACAAGGTCTTTAAAATTCTCTGGAATATATCAGAAAATAGGTGATCTAGACAGGTACACACAAATACAAACATGCTCTACTGATACTTCAGAGCTAGGTGAGCTGTAGTGATATTTAAGGCCATAACAGGCGTCATAATCATTCACCTTCCAGTGAGTTAAAGTTCGACAGCACAGCAATATTACATCGGATATGCAGAAAAACAACAGAATGTTACGGCAATATGCAAACGTCCTCCCCGTGGTGATGAATGTGACAGATGGTTACTTTTTTCTGCCCGTCTGACATAAGTGATGCACACGTAAACAACAAAAAAATGTAAAGTGACAGTTTGCGGCAACACGGAGCAGCTGAAAGTAAAAGTCAAGCAGGTGCAGGAAAGAGAAGGGGGAAGTTAGTTGTGGCACAAATTCACCCGAGCAACGTCTAACATACTGCAGTTATATCAGTTACAGTGATTCCCTCTGAAGTTTTTTTTTTTTTTTAGAGGCATGGATCATTTAAAAGTGTTTGTTAATGTTCGTAAAGCTGTGCATCGAGCATTAGTTAAAACCCACCCCCATGAGGATCATTGAACCGCTGTTGCTATCTTATGACCGTCACAATAATAGCCCGTGCTGCAGCTTTAATCCTTCCTTATTTGGGTGTCTCATCACCATGTGACACCCCGCCTCTTGAATGTTGTAGTCTTCCTTCCGGTCCGAGGCGTGCTGCTCTTCCTTGGCAACACCTGAGGAGATACCTTTGTAAAAATTTGCCAAAATCCCTCTTTTCATGAAAGGTTTTGAATCTATTGTCTCATTTAAGGGTTTGTCTTAGTCATATGTTAGCAAAGGACACCTTCGACCACCCTTGGAGTGCATGGGAGGAATGGGGAACTGGATGCTGTTGACCTCCCTGTTTACCTAGAGGCCAAAAAAAATGTGATTTTTATCTGTCTTCAATCTGGCTCCTGGGTTAGAGGTAGTTTGCTGCCTCACCCACATGTATTAGATACACAACATCTATATGTAGGGAGCAAAGAATTGATGATTTTATAATATGGGCTTAAACTTCAAAAAATACAGTTGATAAATCACACATACCTGAAAGAAAAAATAAGCTTTCGTGAAGCAAAGGTCTTAAAGGTCCCTGAGCTTAATAATTTGCTTCTTAAGTCCGACCTGGGTCGATTAAATGTTTCTACACTGGCCGCTAGAGGGAAAATGCTGTATATCTAATGCATCAACAATGTGCAAACATGCTGTTTCATCACATCATTTCTGTAGCTAAGATGCATGAAAACTCCTGTTTTGTTTCTCTGTTTTTCTCTGCTGCCTCTGGCCCTCCACAGTTTAACTTTCCATTCGAATCCCACCCAATGCACTGCAAGGCTTCCTATTGCTTTCTACAACTAGGTCAAGATAAATCACGAACTGCTCCTCTGCCAAGTTACTTTGGCTTGTAAATGTTTTGTTATTTTGTTTTAATATAATTTGCCTGTCTGTTCTTTGTTTTTTTCATGCAGTGTATCCTCTGTTTGTCCTCTGACATGTGTGACATCGGTCAATAAATGGCGTGAACTAAAAGTCTTTGCCAGTGTTTGGTTTTTGGAACCAGAGATTTTCCTTTTCCAGGTTTCAGTTGAGGACCCTCGACCTGCTGCTCTGCTAACAGCCTGCTAGGGTTACTGGAGCTGACGTCAGGAGGCACCTGACCTGCAGCCTTCCAAAGCTGTGACAAGGTACAGCAATAACCGGATGTAAGGCTTACCCTTCAAAATAAAACCTGAAAGGCTATTAATCTGAAATTCACATTAATGGACAACGATTTTACTCAAGTTCAAATTTCTCCTAACAGGATAAGCATTTGTTATTTTATTACAGTAACCTTGAATGCTTTCAGATATTTTTTGATGTGCAAGATGCTTTATCTAAGAGAACAAGAACACCATTTATAATTCTATCTAGTAAAGTTCAGCACTTCACCATGCCTTTTCTGAAACGTTTGCAGGCATAAGGTTGACATGCCTGCAAACAGCAGCTTAAGTAGCAGCTAATTTTTAATAATCTGATGTGTTAAACACTTTATAAAAAAAATTGAATTCAATCCTAAATGAGTGAAGGAAAGATTAAAATACAACGAGAACCAGCTTTAGGAAGCAGACAATAAAATAAAAATAAAATTCAATTCCATTTCACATGATTGCCTAAATATCATGCAGTGCAAATAGTGAGAGAATCCAGCTGTGTTTAACTTTATCTGAGATTAACTGCAGTTGTTCTCTTTGGATCTAAGGGCTTTATAAGACAAAATTAATGAACAAATATCATGAAGAGAGAGCCATCTGGCAGAAAGGTCAGGGATGCGGAGATGCTTAAATCAGGGTTAAGTCGTAAAACATCATTTACAGTTTTAAACATGGCATATTGCATAAAAGGGGTTTGACGCAATTGCAAACCTACAGAGACGCTTTAAGTCAAGCAAGGAGAGAGTTGACCAGTGAAAAAGCAAACAAAGGCCTTAATAATTCTGAAGGGACTGCAGAGATCCACATTTCAGGTGGGAGAAAATCCCACATGAAAAGCTGGTGGAGATCAGCAGAAGATTAAGGAGGATCTTGAGAGAAAAGCTGCAACATTTAAAACTTTGTAAAAACCAAAAAAAGGGTTACAATGCAATGGTTTGGATTTGATTATAGCCTAATTATCTAAAACTTTATCTATCTGAAATGATGTGGCCTGATTAAAAAAATGCATTTAAGAGATGCTTTCCATCCAGTTGGAACAAAGCATTTAGTTAATTTGATAGAGCATTGAAAGAGTTAATAAGTTAACCTTTAGTTTCAATCATCTTTAAGCTTATGCTTTTATTTTGAAAGGGCGGGGCTTGTTTAAGTTGTTCACAAGAGTGAGTTTGATCCAAGCGCTCCGCTGCAGGAGGAGGGGGAGGGCAATCCCTGCTTTTATTTTTCCTTCCTCGCGGCCGCAGTAAAGCTCAAAAACAAACTTGGGCCAGACGAGCTTCACGCAAACATTTGCGTGTCCGTGTTGGGCTGCTGTGGAGGGAGTGGGGGCTCAGAAGAAAGAAAAAAAAAGCGTTTTCCTCTTCATGTCTTCTTTGTTGCAAAAAGGGAAAGGGCTCCGCTTAGTAGGAGGAAAACAGAACAATTGAATATCAAGTTAGTGCGCTCAGAGTGTGCACTTTACGCACAGAGCGCACCGTTAAACTGTGAGATGTTGGATCGGTCTCGCCCTGCTCCAGCGTGTCTGTGTTTCCTTTGTTAGTGTCAGCTCTTCAGGGATCACTGTGATCATGCGACGTGGTTGAAAGAACCCAAACTTTCCAGCGCAAAACAACAACAAAAGAGACAACATGGGGGCCAAGCAGAGCAGCCCCGGGTTTGACGGCAGAACTCGCGCTTATTCCAGCTCAGATCTCCCTTCTCGGAACACGGCTGTGGCGGAAGGTATCACGGGGTTTAGGTACACGAATGGACCCGATGGCCCGAGGATCCGGTACACGGGTGGAGGGCCCACCGACTCCGGGCTGAGGATCCCCACCGGTGGAAGGTCAGGGTCAAACAATCAGGGTCTGGATAGCCCAGATGGAGATGATGGCCAGCTGTCCCCAGAGGCGCACAGGCTGTTTATTGGCTCCTTACCGTCTCACCTGTCTCCTCGCTTGCTGGGAGGTAAGATCCTGAAGCACAGATTACACAACCAAAACAACAACACCTGGAGGACCTGAGATGGGGGTTCTGAATATATATTTGCATCATCTAAGGTAGATTATGTGATTTATTTGACCCCTTTTCACTTATTTTAGCAAATATACCTCAATTGTTTACCCATAAGGGCAGAACTGGTTTACTTCCTGGTTTCATACTGACAGGTGATGCCTTCATGCTTGACTTATTATATCAGATTCTGTTACTTTACCCTCCAGGCATGGGATTATCCAGGTAAAAATCACAAACTTTCACCAACTGTAAAGCAAAGATAGAAATATGATCACTGCTGTTGTTGTCAGACAGATTGTAGTTCATCAGCTTTAGTTTTTAATATTAAAAGTTAAACAAATGAATAACAACAGTACATTTCTTTCTGCCACCTGAGCTGGCAGTGCGCAGCAACAGGTGAAGGGGCAGCAATATGTTACCTCATTTCTCTATTAAGTCAGGTTACTCAAGCATCTCTTTAACAGGATTTATAACCGCTTAAAAGGTTATAAATTTAACGTAAAGTGATGCGTGTCTAAGTGAATTCTGGGTCAGGTGGGTTTGTTAGCATATAACTAGAGAAGTTGGTGTACGCTTTTATTTTGGGTTGTGGACGACAGTTTTAAACTTGGCACCATTTTGTATCAGTGTTTGGGACTTTTATTTTGAAATAAGAAAGGAAATATTTATTGAGTTGTCCTGTCTTATTGACACATAGACAATGAAAAAGTCCTCTACAATTAAAAAATCAGGCACTTTATTTTTGGTAATATTGGATCGAGATAAAACTTTTTTTTTTAAATGGTTTGATAAATATTGAGGTATAGTTTTATAGCACCATTTCCATTTTTTTAAGAGAGAGAGCAAAGAGTAATAACTAATGATAAAGTCAACATGATTGCTTATACCAAATCATTTTTATTCCCCTATTTTCCAACACACAATCACTATGTTAACATATAAATTCTTCTTCTTCTGTAAAATAGGAAACATCTCCAATCCGATTGGCTGTTTTTTTTTGTGTTACGTCAACCTCATGTAATTACTATTTAACGACATCTATTGCCTTACTGATATTTTAAGGTTACCTCCTCATTAAATATGGAAGTTATTTATGAAAGCAAAGTAAATAAATGTTTAAAATTCTTAAAAATGAAAAGAATTAAAGGTATAGTGGAGGATGTTTGCATATCTTTGAAAAGAGCCGCCCTCTCCATGTAAAAAAAATGTATGCACATGCTCAACCCTGTACCCGCTCCTTAGAGGGAACGCCTATTAAACGCGTGCAAGAGCGTACAGGAGCCTATTTCATCGTGCACGCTCTTTTTAAAAGTTACTAGGACGACCACTTAGTTTGATGATCCACCCGGAAAAATATAATCCTCCACTATAACTTTAAAGTAAATCATAAATTATTCGTTTATTATTTATCATCTGTTTTTTTTGCTTTCTTATTAATTTCACATTAATCAGGACCTCAAACATCCAGCAGCCTTTACCTGAAAGTGGATTCAGGTCCAACCAGTCAATAAGTTTAGCTGAAGGCACAGAGCTGTTTCTTTTTTCAAAGGAAACAGGAACCTATATTCATTCTGGTAACTAAGCACAGTCTGGAAAAGTTTCTTTGAAATCAGCAAAATATGAAATATGCCTTTGTCCAAAAAAAAAAAAAAAAAAAAAGGAACCTCTGCTTTTCTTTAAATTAGGAACGTCTAGGAGTTCGCCCTAACAGAGTTGCTAAAAGCTGCTGCTCTCATGAACAAATCGTGTTCGGTCTCGTCACCTCTGCTCACGATCATTAGATGTTACTGATGCAGTCAGAGCTGCTCAGTATTTTTCCATTTGACACTGGATACCTGGATACGTTTAATAGCTGTATGACGGCTGAGCGCTTTGTTTAGCCTCTTTATCGAAGCCACAGGTGGCTGTGCTGCTGCTGCGCTGCTTTGCCCTTTTGTCTTCCTTCTTCTGCTTCTCTTACGTTGTGCAAAACAGGCCAACTTTTTTTTTTTTTTTCCTTGCTCTGAGAGGGAAGAGTGCACTATGTAGGTCAACAGATAAGCGCTTCCTGCTGGTTACACATTGCCTGACATGGACAGACACAAACGCAGCTGAAACACAAAGAACGCTCACAAACTTCCTGAATCTGCAAGTCTAGCTGTTTTCTTCAGAACGAGAGGGAGTCACCAGATCCGAGCGCAACAAAAGCCGGAGTCGAACCGACAGAAACGTAACGGTCATGGGGCTGAAAGAGGAAACAGTGCTGCAGTTTTAGAAAAAGGATCCATAAAAAGCCCAACTGAAACACCCCCCCCTCCTTCTTTGAGGTTACTGGTAGAGGTAATGAGGAAGTCTAATCACTGATAACCTCATCTGTAACCTTTGCACCATGGGAGCCATGTGACTCTCCAGGCCTCACGCTGTTTTTAGAGTCCTTCATAAACACATGACATAAGCACGGTGTAGACTCCAGGCACAGTGCTATTTACAAAAGCTGCACTTCTTTATCTTTCTTTGGAGGTTTTAAGCTTTTATCATGTTTTAAAGGAGGCCAGTTCACAGGGCCTGTACTGCACACCCGTATGCAAGAAGGCAGGCAGAAATGTGCAGGGGGGGTATCCTCATATAGGCAGGACTAATAGAGTCAGCGGAAAGTGTTAGAACCAATTGGTTAAATACCGATGTGACAAAAAAAAAAACATTTAAAAGAAAGAAACATTGCAATTTTAACCATATAAAACATTGCCCCATTGCAGCTGCAATCTTCTCTTCAGAGCTGTGAAACGTTTTCTGAAAATGTAGGCATGGAGAGAACAGCTTTGGGGTTTTGTATTGTAGGAAGTACCGTACTCATGTGAAAATTGTATCTAAATAGTTGTCCCTGTGTGGCTTGAAATAAAAATAAAATCCCATTTAGAAGTAACTTAATCGTTTTCAAACATTAAATCATCAGTCAGGGATGGTGATGGGTTTTTATAAGTGCCACTTTGAAATGATATTTGTCGATCGTAAATGCAGTTAATGTTAGGAGTTCTGTAGTTCCAACTACAGACGTATTTGACAGCAGGTGTTGGCAAAAACAGCAAAAAAGTAAATATGCTTTTAGTAGCCTGTCGTCTCTTGGCATTATGCTGCATATGAAAATGAAGCAAATCAATGTTGTCTGGTGCATAATAATCAATATAATGTTTCTCTAAGAACACGGCATAGATTACTCTAAGGTTTGGACCTGCCTATATCACCATTTATTGCAGTGCTGCCTTGCAGCAAGAAGGTTCTGGGTTCCATTCCCGGCCCGGGGTCTTTCTGCATGGAGTTTGCATGTTCTCTCGGTGCATGTGTAGGTTCTCTCCGGGTACTCCGGCTTCCTACCACAGTCCAAAAGTATGACTGTTAGGTTAATTGGCTTCTCTAAATTTACCTTAGGTGTGTGAGTGCATGGTTCTGTGTCCATGTGTTGCCCTGCGACAGACTGGCGAGTGGCGACCTGTCCAGGGTGTAGCCCACCTCTCGCCCATAGACTGCCGGAGATAGGCACCGACTCCTGCTTGACCCTGACAAGGACTAAGAGGGAGAAAATGGATGTATGGTATTATCTAGAGATATTAGTACCATTAATACTATGTATTGTTGAAGTATAAATGCCAATTTATACTATATTATGGTATTATGATCTGTAACTTTAGGAGGAAAATGCAGTGGTTTGGATTTGAGGAAGAGTGATCCATATGTCCTCCAGCAGTCTAAGCCTAAAGCAGCATAACTATAGAGATATTTCAGATAACCTGAGCCACTCAACAACCTTGGTTACTGAAGGGATGTGAAAATGCAGTATCTTCCCTGTGACAGTCTTTGGGCTCGTGTGTGTGTGGGTGATCTGAGGTGTGTGTGGGTGATCTGAGACGACTGGACAGAAAAGAACAGTTTGGAGACAGAAGGCAGGTGTAAAATCCTTGACCAAAGGTGACTTTTCTTGCACTTGAATGGATGCTGCGAGCATAAAATACTGCACATATGTTTCTGTTTTTAACACCTAAGAGCTACTTGACATTCTACACCAAAATCGTTGTGGTCATGCTTTTTTTTTTTGCTTGAGTTTTACGTGACAATAATTGAATCTCCTTCTTTGTCTCTCTTTCCATTAAATTTGACAACATAGGAAAACAGCTGGACAAGGCTTTGAAATCTCAGTTTTCATAAGTGCAAAAGTTGTATTCTATATGTAATGCAACTATGCATGGATATAAAAAAAGAAAGCATGCACTGTTTAGCAGGAGGTATGCCCAAATCTCCTCCAGCCACATAATGTTCTCAACAGCAACATCATTGTGGTTAATTTTGCACCAAGCAACACTTGAGATTCCATAAATCTGACATTACCTGTCTAGGGGTGTGGCGGCAGCTTCTGCAATTTCCCCTCCAGGCTGAGTAAAGGAGGAGGGTGGGACAAGGCTTGGGTTTCGGCTTTAGTGATTGAGAAACACTCGACAGGCTCACACTTGGATAAGAACAGGATAGCATTCCCTAGTCGTCAGAATAAATAGATGCTATATTTACCTTTCTCTTCTGTTGTTAATTATTGATAAAATATTGTTGGGAGGTTAACTGAGCTTCACTGCTTCCTTAAAATTTTAACACTTGAGCTCTAATCTGCCCAAGTTTGAGACAGAGGTCCGACAACAGACCACAGGCTCTTCTTTGGCTTGTTTGCATATTTGACTCTGATTGGATGTTCAGTGGGGGTGGGAGCTGACTGCAGAGAAGGCCTCTGCCTTTGCCTTTTGGCAAATTACATTTGAGTAGTCAAAGTGCTTGTTTGGGGTATAGCCGGCCTAGCCAGTTTATCCCAAGTTTAGCAGCTCTTGAACTGGGAACAATTCATAATGTTAAAAGTAAAACCTTTTATTGTATTTGTATTTTTAGTTACAGAACAACACATGATGTAATTGTAAAGATGATACTTAAATAAAATCCAGTTCAACCTATTGTATTTGAAGCTTACCTTGGTAGTGAATACCTGTCCTCTAGAAAATGCAATTAATCTTTTCCTCAGATTTTGAAAAAAACACACAAAAAACACTTGTTTTGGTCACTTGAGACCACCTGTCATGCAAAAATTACTCACCATCGCCCTGGATACATTATCTCAGTGAAACATGGTGATGGCAGTGTGATGGTGAGGGAACCAATGGATGGAGTTGAATACAGCACAATCCTGGCTAGAAACCAACCTTTAAAAACATGGCTTCCCTAAATAAACAGCCACAATATATCTTGTTTACAAAGCTATCGTTCTGTATTGTCCCAGACATACAATAGATCCAGTACATGCTAACAGTCCTACATTACTTCATGCTGTGACATCGCTACAACTCTCAGTTCTCACTTCATCAGGATATCAGAGTATCTTCGGTCAGAAGCTTCCTCTGGAGACCAAACCATGACCATCTATTATGACTCGAAGGCAATGTTTAACTTTAGTTTACAATCATATTCATTAACCTACTGGGAAAAATAAAGCATGTTCAAGTTAAATATGGGTCCTAATGCTGTTTGTGTTTCTGTTTTTGTACTTCCAGGGTTCCACTGTCCTGTTTGCTCCAAGTTTATGACAGCGGATGAGATAGAGAAGCACCTACTTGTGTGTTTCAGTAAAACACGCCTTACCTACAACAGTAAGATTTTTTATTATTTTATTTTGAATCTTCCTATGTTATGATAATATAAAATGTTGTCTTTAAAGAGAAAGAAGCATCATGGTTGGTATTAGTCTTGCGCCGATGCAATTTTGTAGCCCCGATACTAGTACCCGATACCTGGCTGTGCAGTATCGGCAGATACGGATACCATCTGTTTGGAAAAAGGAAAAGGAAAAAGACTAATACAAAATGAACTTTTTATTGCCTACCTGAAATTGGTGACAATAGTTGAATAAACTTTTTGCTCTTAAAATGGTATCCATGCTGTATTTGTCCGTACTCACTGATACCACTACCCCCATTTTAAGTACTGGCTCAGGGCCCCGCTCGATACTGGTATTGGTATCTGTGCAACACTAGGTGGTATAGGAAACTGCAGCTTTGGTGGCTTTGCTTTTATTGGAGAAAGAAAGAAAATAATAGATCATTGTGATTGTTCAAATGCATTTTCAATCATGGGATGTTTTAGTTTTCTTGAACAGCATCATTCCAACTCCTTTTGAGGCCTGATAAAGAGCCAATTATTTGATTTATGAGTTGTAGCAGGGATCCATGTAAAAGTTGTAGGACAGTAACTGTCATAAAATGGAATTAAAGGCCTTTACTTTATACAGTCACACCCAGGTAGATGAGGCAGGGCAAAAAAAAAGGCTTACAAGCTTCGGTAGAGGCCCATAAAAACAACCCCAGATCTATACTTCCTTCCTAATAGCAGAACCGTGAAGATCCAACATTGTTTTTCTGCCATAATTTCTCATATTTTTACAGATGCATCAATAACAGCCAGTAGAAGGGAAGGCAGCAAACCGTGACTCTACTGAACTAATAAAATGCAGAAGGATGCTGATAGTTAGAATATTAATATGGTGGCAGGAAAAGAAACCAGCTGCTGCATTATAGAAGCTATTTAAGGCTCTGAAATAAAGGATTATTACTCAGCGTCAAGTGGTCATAATAAATACAAAAGTGTTTTCTATAAAATAACTCAATACTTAATTGACATCTGCTGTATTTTTAAAAGTCCTCCTTTAGTCTAAAGAGAATAAACAAATAAACCCCAGGTTCCACTTAACACGCAGGCACCGCGGGGCATTTCTGCCCGGCACCCTATTCCGCTTCTCAGAGCGGAGTGGTTGTACTCGGATCGAACAAGGATTTATTCATCGTGTCATAGTAACATACATGTAGGCTTTGACTAGAACAATAAACTTTTGACTGTAAATCTGCACATGCAGCATTTCATATGTAACCAAAATAATGTTACCCACCTTCAATACCAAATTATTCATCAATTTTAGCCCATGCCTTTCCCTTTCTGGTGTTAACGTTAAAAGGAGTCGTTTCATATTTATTGGTGTGTTTTACACCTCCAAAATTAACATTTCGTCATCTATGGTGTCTTATGAAGTAAGATTCATTTCTGTGCTGGAGCTGCAGGTAAAGCCCTGAACACACCGGATGTGTGCGACTTTTTAATCTCCTATACGATTTTTTTCCATATCACACTGACTACGTATGGAGAGGCTCCGACTAGGTACTGGGGCAGATCTGCACAGATCTTTTTCACTTCTGTCTCTGTGCTTTACACAAATTAAAACAATTTCCCACATTTGGAGAGATTATCAAAATTGATTACAAAGACAGACAAAGCAACAACAACAAAAAAACCTGGTACATTCTATAAAGCAAAGACCCACCCAGTCTGTGCAGCATCTCAAACCAGAACAGATAGAGAATGTTCATATGCCTATATTAAAAACATAATGAGATCTACGTCTAAAGAAAAAAACAGCAATGAACACCGTGGGACAGTTTCTATGCTGACTGAGGCAGGGAGAAGTGATTCTCAGAGAGGGATCTGTGAAGTTTATCAAAGTTTTTCTTTCTTTTTTCATATAGGGGTGATAGAGATACACTGCGCTTAGCTGCTCTGTCTGCCCCTCATTATTTAGTTTTTTGTGAGGCTCAATAGGAATCACTATTTCACTTTATCCGTTTTTTCTCCTCCTGATTGATTGATAAACTGCGCTTTTCTGTCCCTCGTTGTTTTTGTGAGACTCAGAGAGGATCACTACTTTATCCGTTTTCTGTCCTCCTGAATTCCTATCATGGGTAAAATATGTTAAAATGTTTCATTGATTGTTTTTGCACGAGTCTGACCTGCTTACTATTTACGCAGGGTGCATCTCAAAAAGTTGAATCTTTTCCTATGCGATTAACAGATTTTATTTTGTATTTTCCCCCAAAGTGCATGTCTTTTACTTTGTAGCTGCATCTCTCTTCCTGTCAGACCCTTGAAATTGCCGCTGAATTGCTGCTTACTCCGACTAATATAGACCCAGGGTTCTACATAAGCTCATTTGCGTAAAATCACGCCGGGTGTCATCATCCCCATTGACTTTCAATTAACGCTAAATGCCAAGACCTCGTCCAACACGATTTTCTGTCTGATCGGACGCAAAATTGGATTCGCTATGTTCAGGGCTTAATGTTTTTTTGATGTTTCAGAGTAAAATGCAATCCTAAGTCTGCACATGTAGTGCTTAACTTTGAAACTCCTCTGGATGCTTTTTAGCAACTGACTTCCTGCCTGAACGATGCACCCTACTCCAGATTGATGTGAAGGTATAATATCACGCATAAAAAAATAGAACAGATTTTAGAGAAGCATCCAGCGGCCGGTGCTTCCGCCTTAAGATAAACGTCGGGATCAAAGAGCGAGAGTCTTGCAAAATCAACTCTTTTATAGCTTTCATCCATATTATCATAATCATGTAGAAAAGTGTTATTTCACTTAGTTCATGTATGTCTTATTAAACCTAATTAATTTTGGTCTTTAAGCAGCAGCCCCTTCCTGTTCTGGTAAAATAAACTACTTGCCCACTTTGGGTAAGTCATGAGAATCTGTTTTTCAGTGATAAAAGGTCTCTTACTTTTTTAAGCCATCTTAAGGATGAGACTAATTGCCTGAAACGGTGTTATACAAATGCTGCAGCGGCTCTGACGGTGTCGCGAAATGGGCGCCATCACATAGGGAAAGTCAGTGTCCCAGTAAAGGCAAGTGTATTTCTCTTGAATTGGAAAAAACAACAGAAACAAAAAATATTTTGTGACAAATTAATAATCCATAGTGCAAAGATCAATATTTAATCATATAAAATTTGAAGGCTTTAAAAAACATGATATATAGAGACTTCAAAAGCCTGTTCTGCTTTGCCACTTAAGCACATGTGGCACCTGAATATTTCCAATTAACGTTTCATACTGAGAAACTCATTATTTTTGGTCAATGTGATGAGAAGAAGGTTTCATGGTGCATTTCTGCGAAAGCTCATATCAGATTTATCACAAATTTTAATTGGCCGCATGATAGTCGACACAGAGCCAAATAAATCGCTTACTTTGAAGATAAATTTAGCATGGATGCTAGTTTTCAACCTTGAGGCATTTGCAGGCTAGACTTTTTAAATGATGGTCATGGTCCTTATGGGCAAAGCAGAGCATCATCTGCATATGTGGAATGTTATTTGGACTCTGATTTTAGTACATGGAAAAAGTCCTCACAGAAAACCTGGCTTTTGATTTTTGTAAAGGTCCACACATTTGGAAACACCCAAACTGGATATTCATTTTATTACCGTACATAAAAAAAGCTCTTTTGCAGCTTTATGTTTTAAATGATGAAAATTACCTTTTTTTCTGAGAATGGATTTCACCTACACCCTATCAATTGAAATGACAAAAATATACGCTTCACATTTCGCCAAACCACGAGAAACGTCAACAGGAAAAGATAAAAAAACCAAAAATACAAATGTGTGATGCAGCTGCACATCAAAGCATTGTGAGCACCTGCACGGGCCAGACACACAGGAAAGATGTGCAGATCTGTGGAAAACATCAGAAGCTAAACATTAACATAAATGATGCTAGTCGCAAACTTCTTTCCAACCTCGTCACTGTTGCATGAATGCCAACAGGAGAGGAATCCTCTTTGTTTTTAGGACTTTGCAATTAGCGTTTTCCCTGCACACACCCAACAACAGCCTGCATGCTGCTGATAAATGTGCAAATCCAGGGCATCAGCTAGACAGTGTCAATTACGTTATCACAACCTTGCAGATGTGGAAGACCTGCACCACATCTATTTTTTTTTTTACCTACATGTCAGACTTTCTCTGTAAAAACTGCTTTGGATTGAACCTTCCTTTTGTTTTATTCCAACAAAACCCGAAAGCAGTTTTAAAAAGCCTTCTTTTCCTACTCAGAGATTCACATTCACTTTCATGAAAAATAATTTACATTTAAATGTAAAAATAGATCCAAAAGTTTCAATTAAAGAAAACTGTAATTGAAAATGTTACCTATTAAACACATTTCCTATTAAGACGGATCTGATATTAGCATCTAGAGCAGGGGTCGCCAACGCGGTGCCCGCGGGCACCAAGGGGCCCTCAAGGACCACATGGGGTGCCCTCAACGCCTTCTGAAAACAGCAACTCAGCAGTGGGCTAAGTTTGAAATTTTATTTTATTCTGTGACTCTTCTTTTTAATCATTTATAGAGCATTTCATCATAGTAATCATATCGGGCATTTTAGCATTTATAGAGATTTTTAAATTATAATGTTTAAAGGAAAATTAGAAATTAAAAGTTAACAATAAAAATGTGTTTAATTTGGATGAAGTTTAGGTGAACGCTGACCCCTCTTGTTCATAGGTCAGTATTGGTAGCCCTTCCTATGATTTGATAGTCATGAAGTTGCCCTCAGCCTTGACATGGTTGGTGACCACTGATCTAGAGGGTGCAAAAGTATTGACCTTCCTTTAAAACTTTCTTTGTTTTGTTACCTGAAGTTTATTCAAACCTCCTACATTTATGTTTATTTATATCACAGCATTTAATGTTCAATTCTTTAAAAATAACTTTTTGGGTATTTAAATTTATTTTCAACAGAACAAAACAAAAACATCCATAAAAATCTCAAACAACAACAAAAAAAACAACACACATCATGACCCTGCCACTTCTATGCTTCATTATAGGGATCGTGTTCTCTGTGTCGTCATCCACTTTATATCTAATGGATCGATGCTCCAATCTTTAACAAAGACCTTTCCTTCCCCGTTTGTTTGCTTAATGTCCTTTTAATCCGGTCTGTCTGTTTAGGTGAACAGAACATGTTATTCTTATTGGTTTGGGATGTAACACAATCCTGATTGGTTATTTTGGGCGCATTTGTTCTGTCCTTTACTTGGTGAAAGGTCTTATTGCTGATAGGTGTTGTCCTTGTGTTAACTCATAAAACAGGTAAAATTATTGCACATAGCGCCCCTTTAAAGTAGACTTGGGTTTAAAAATAATTTTTGCAAAGGGGTTTAAAACTTTTTATCGTCACAGAATACCCTTTACAATTCCAGTGAACAAAATATTTTGCAAGGCAAATTTATTTGTATAGCACAATTCAGTAGAAAGACAATGCGAAGCGCTTTACATGATTAAAATACAGGAAGATAAAACAGAATCAAAGCAAGTAGGAAAAATACATAAATAAGAAATGCAGAAACTGAAGACTGAAGAAAATAAAAAAATTAAACTAATGATGTTTCAGTTGAACTGTTTAACTAGAACAGTCAAAGGCAATCCTAAACAAATGTGTTTTTAGTCTTGATTTAAAGGAACTCAGGCTTTCCGCACTTTTACAGTTTTCTGGAAGTTTGTTCCAGATAAGTGGAGCATAGGAACTAAATGCTGCTTCTCCATGTTTAGTTCTGGTTCTAGGTATGCAGAGCAGGCTGGAGCCAGGAGACCTGAGTGGTCTGGAGGGTTGATACACTGATAGCAAGTCTGTGATGTATTTAGGTGCTAAGCCATTCAGAGATTTATAGACTAACAGAAGTATTTTAAAGTCTATTCTATAAGATACAGGGAGGGGTGATGTGCTCTACTTTCTTAGTCTTAGTGAGGACACGGGCAGCAGCGTTCTGGATCAGCTGCAGCTGTCTGATCCACTTTTTAGGCAGACCTGTGAAAACACCGTTGCAGTAATCAATTCGACTAAAAATAAACGCAGTACTTTAATCCTGGAAATGTTCTTCAGGTGATAGAAAGCCGACATTGTAATTGTCTTTAAACCATAAAGGTGCTAACACCCACTGCAAAAGTGTACAAACATTTTTCTTGAAACACATTTTGCTTGAATTGCCGCATTTAGTATTTTTTCTCTCATCTAGACTTAACAGCAAGGTTCTCAGAATGCGAGGAAACCCCATGTTCCCAGATCTCTTTTGGTCCTAAATGTTCCTTTCATGAAGTCATTCCTTTGTTTGTTGAATGTATGCTCGAATAAAAAAACAAAAAAACCCTTATCTCCCAGCAGGAATATTAAGATATTGGGTCAAAGGTGACCTGTATTTCTCATCTTTTAAGAGAGGTGTGTACACTTTTTAGGGCCATTATATTTCCCCTACAGGTAGATGTGTTCAACTTCTTAGGACGCAGCGTTTATGTCCTATTCTATCTTTATTACCATGTTGTAAAAGACCATTACAATGTTGAGAATGCAGTTATTTCCACACATTAAGATTTAAAAATGCAGAGATTTGAAGTGTTTTGCAGCTCTTTGCTTACTCAGTTTGTATGCATTTTGCAGAGGACATCCTGTCAAGAGACTCTGGGGAATGTGCAATCTGTTTAGAAGAGTTGGAGCAGGGAGACACCATCGCCAGGCTGCCCTGCCTCTGCATCTATCACAAAGGGTAAGCAAAGCTCTAAAAGAGAAGCTCAAAAAGCGGAAATGAAAATGAGAAACTGTCAAACCCATCAAAGGAATAAGATTCAGTCTGATTGTTTATTATTGGTTTGAAAGCTGCAAGATAAAAGCGTTCAGATCTGTAAAGGAAAGGAATATTGAAGAAGACACTAATGTGGGGTACTAACTGAATCAATCTTTTTCACTTGGCCAGGAACCATTAATGCACTTTGTAAAACCTTCTCCACGCAAATCAAAGTAGAGCAGTAGATGTTTTTCACCTGACCTGGTTATTATGATCAATCTGCTGCAGCTGTCAAAAAGCATGGATTATCAGCAAAGGACAGATGAAAATGGGTTATTACAAGTTATATCACAATTATTGCCAATAAAATCATCAGAGGGTTTTAAGAGTTCATTCAGCGAAAACTGCCAGTGAGAATTTCAATGTTGAGCATCGTAAAATATTACTGCCTTGCATTGTTTTCTCTATCCTTGAGGTTGGGCCTTTGCACTAATTTGCAAAGGAACTGAGTATTTTCCTCCTGAGCCAACCCTCTTCCTGGAAACATTAAATCCTAAGACGTTATATATGCCGAACATGGTAGCCACAGCTACAGCTGCAGCCGTCATGAATGTTTTCGCTAATATGGGCACCTTGGACATCGGCCTTCTTTGCATTTCTTTCATTTATATTGCTTTCACTCAACCACAAAGTGTTTTTCCTTATAGGAGACAAGGCAGATGTCTCCTTATCAGATAATAAGACAGGGTTTAAAGGGTATTGTATAAGGAAAAATAAAAATATATTTTTTGAAATTACATTTCAACTAGAGACTTAAGGCATGAATTATATATACCCTTTGGAATTACTACTGGAAAATTAGTGATTGGTGTAACATCTGGAGTGCTTTTGAATTTTTTAGTAGGTCCAAGTCTTTGATGTTAAAGACCTGCTCACCATTTTGGTCTCTCCACAGTTTGCATTTCAAATTTAAATCAGGACTCTAGCTGAGAGGCTAAAACATGAATTTTTCTTCCAGTCAGTAGACCCATATGTCCATAAAAAAAGAAAAATCTGTATTATTTTAAATCGAAATCTGTCAGTAGGCATGAAGTATCACATGTCTCCTTGCATATATGTGCACTCATTCCAGTTGTAAAAGGTTTAGTGGAGGATAGGGCTGGGTAAAAAAAAATCTATTTAATTGATTTTGAATCGATTCCTTTACATTTTTGCAAAATCAATGTCTAGGGAATGAGATAGATTTGTTTTATAGTGACGCACGTAACGTTCACATTCAAACGAGCAGGAAAGATGCAATTAAAATGACTTCAAGCCAGACAGCTGCAAATAAAGCCAATAGGTTGATTGAAGACATTAACACATGGGGGCTGACCAGCAAACACCCTGTGGTTATTATAGACAAAGCTGCAAATATGGTTTGTGCACTGAAGATAATGCAGCTCATGCATGTCTGCTGTGTCACGTCTTTTTGCTCGAGTGAGGTTTCACTTTTTCACTTTTCACAAACAAGTTTCCACTTTTGAGACAGTTTTGCTCACATCTCAAGTTTAAACTGTCTGATTTACAAGTTTGCACTTTGTGTTTAATATGAAAGGAAAAAATAAAATACATGAGTGTTTTGAAACACAGTTAAACCACTTTCATAATTGTAAAAACAGATCAAATCGAAATGAATCGATTTAGAACTTTATGAATCAAAATCGAATCGATTCAGGACTTTGGCGAAAATACCCAGCCCTAGTGGAGGATGTTCTTTTTTCCGGGTGGATCATCAAAATAAGTGGTCCTCCTTATTGTCAATCATTCTGGTGATATGTTTACGTAAGGCCGTCCAACGTGCTCGTCCCTATTTTCGCTTACCAATGGAGAGTCTGACATATTGGAAAAATTGCAAATCTTCTTTTGGAAAGTAAGCTAGAATGAGCAATGCAAACAGAAACTTTTAAACAGAGCGTGCACGAGGAGAAATGGGCCTGTTCATGCTCTGGCATGCCTTTCATAGATGTTCAGTCTTAGGAGCGAGTACAGGGGATGTACAAGTGCATTTTTATTCATTTTAAATGAAGAGGGCAGGTCTTTTCAAAACAATTGTGATAATTTTCCACTATGCCTTTAAAGAAAAGTAAAAAATGTCTCCTATAGACTATCTAAGCCCTAACAATAACACCTGAAGCACCCATTTTTTTTTTTGCTATTTTCTTTCATTTTTTTTTACAATACCCACCATTAGCATTTGGCTCACAACTTTCAACTGAACCTCATTAAATCATATTTATATTTATAAAGCAGTCTAAATCAACCAGCTGTGATAACTAACCGTCCCTCATACCGTATATTTCTAGTACGCGTTGCTCTTTGTTCTATGATACAGAGCTTTGGTTCTCATCACGTTCTGCATGTTTAAATGAAAGGCTGATTAACAGGCTTTTATAGGAGTTAATGCAAACTGTGGATGGATCAGATGAGCTGGAGCGGAGACGTGCTAAAACATGGCCAGCAGGCTCTGATGCACTGAGAAACAGATGTACGTCAACCATTGGTTATCTCTAACCTTGAGGACTGTGATATAATTTAGCAAGACCGTCTGTCATAATGTGTTTCTAATCTTTATGCAAAGACGCCGTCATAAAAGAAGGAGAGTGACAGCGACGCATTCCTCTAGCAACCAAACAAATACACATTTAGTCAGACTTTAGCGACGGCTTTTTAAGTTGCAGCTGTTTTGCGGTTTTCAGTCACAAGATCCAGAATTGACCTTTGTAAGAGTTTTATAATGAACCAGGTGGGTTCCATCTAAACTCACCAGTAAAAAAGTGAAAAAAAAAAGGTTAAAAAGTAGTGTTATAAGAAGAGACATGAAGTAGAGGAAATGTTATAAAGATCTCTTTAAATAAAGAATTAACTATTGTGAGGACTCTCTTTACTTTTACTCAATATGGCCAGAAGTAGGTATGCCTCGTAACTCCCTCTATATTATGTATTTTGACAGATACAACAAGGAAACAATCAAAAAATTTATTTAAACCTAAATCTGTTTGGGGTATTAATAGTTTCCTTCCACAGATTCTTCCAAAAAAAGATTTAGTGGACTTTAACTGGACCATTCTCACAGATCTAAACTAGAAAATTCATTGAAGAGCGGAGACCTCCACCATGCAGCACATTTTGCCCCAAATTGTGCTTACACCTAGGGTTGTCACGAAACTAAACTTTTCAACTCGATACCGATACCGAAATATTCGATACTCGATACCATTTTCGATACCACAAAGATAAAAACAAAGACTCCAAAATTCAACAGAAATATTTTCATTAATAATAAAAATACAATAAATAAATACAATAAACAATAAAAACTATATTTTGAGGTTGTTTGCTGTGCACAGTATGAGGCAAGCTTGATAAAAAAAAAACATACAAAATTAAAATTAAGTGTTCCTTACTTGGCTGTGCTTTGCACACATAACACTAGCCAAACCGGTTAAGAAACAAAAATAATTATCAGCAGCTGCACTTGTTACAAAAAAAGTCTGAAACTGAAAAGCGCACTGAATTATTCAATCATACAGTGTTCTGAAAGTAAATTTTCCTCTATTCTGCACTTTAGATAAATGACTGCTTAGGTGCCACTGGTGGTAGCACTGTATCGATACTTTTGAAAATGAGTATTGTATCCGGATACAACGTTTCAGTATTGATACTTTTTTGAGTATTGATACTTTTAACAACCCTACTTACACCTATAAGTAAAACCTCGTGATCTGGATCATTACCAAATATAAATAAATTGTGCCTTGGCATGAGGTGCATCTCTGGTTAAAATTCCATTTAAATCCTTATAGTAAGGAACAGCTTGTGTCTGCAGCCTCTGGTGTCTTTCCTGCTCTCACCTTCTTCATTCGCTCTGCACTCTGATTTTTCTTCTTTGAGCAGCAGATCAACACTTCGAGTGAGGCAGGGCTCTCCTTTCTTATGTTTTTGTGGTTTTTGTTTTCAGTATAACACCTCTGTACTTTTTAAGTCCAATGCTGAAGCGGTCAATAGTCACTGCTGCCACCCTCTGGTTTAGGGAGGAACTGCTTGTTCCAACAAATAAGGATAAGAAATCCTTTAAAAACTCCTGGATCCAGATCCTCACCATAATGTAATGTATTGTTCCTTAGCATGAGCACCACCACTGGTAGAAATATTACTAAAATACAATCATAGCTTTTCAAGTACTCGTCGCAGACAAACAACCGCAACTGAAAACACCCTAAACTAACCCTAACCTCCTTTATCGGAGGGATTGACTTTACTATAGCTGCATCTTTTACATGTAGCTACAGTTTATCCTGCTCATAGATAAACGTTAAGCTTAGTATCAAATCTTGCTGAGTATTTCCAACGTTATCTATAACCAGTGTTTAGCAAGACTTACTTGTCCTTCACCAAAGGATGATGGTGCCACCACCATGTTTCTCTATGGAGATGGTGTTTTTTTCACAGCCACCTAAGTTCTGGAGCTCTAGAGATCTTCAAGAATGACCGTGAGGATGTCCTGTTACAGTTTGGGACTTTTTTTGTGTGTAAAACAGCTCCGGTCTGAACTTCTCATTGAACTCTATGGTTTGTTGAAGTTTTAGATTGTTTATTAAAAAAAAAAAAAAAAAAAAAAAAGATGAATGTTGTTAATATTATGGGTAAGAAAAGAAGTTTCATCCAATATTATTGCAGACAAAAAAAAAAACCTTTAAAACAAAATACAATATCAACCATTAATTTGCTTTCCCTCAAAGATTTTTTATAATATGTTCATATTACAAATAGATGACAGCAAAAAATCTAAAAAAAAATTGCAAATTGACAAAAGGCTTTAGATTTATCAAATAAATTGTCTTTTTTACATATTTATGTTAAATTGGATTAATTAAAAAAAATCAGTTGTAGTTTTGTTTATATTTTAATTTTAAAAAATACACACATTTTCTATAGATATAAAAAATGATTGAATGCATTAAATCTGAAAATAAATTAATGATTTTGGAAGAAAGAAAATCTGCAAAATGCAAAGATGGTTCATTTCTTACATACACTTTGTAAAATTACGTTCAGTACCTTTTTATTTTTTTAGACTTTTTTTTTCTATTTTTTGAACTTTTTTTTCATTTGCAATAATAGTGGAACATATTTCTCTCCATATCTGATAACTCTTATCCAACAGCTCCATCTAGCTCAATAGCATGGGCTGCTAGCAATTCCTTTTTTAGGAGTTCAGTGTTTGGTGTGTAATATCAACATTTAGGCTTAAAATGATCTAAAAAAAAAAAAAAATAGAAATTATCTTCTTGCACTAATTACCTCTTGCTTTCATTTTTCTAACGTTTGTTCCAGGTGCATAGATGAGTGGTTTGAGGTGAATCGCTCCTGTCCGGAGCATCCTGCCGACTAGACGCTGCAGAAGTGCAGCTTAACTCTGCAGTTCATCACTGAGGCTGACTCTACACCCAGACCTTATCCCAACGCTGCCTGGTCCAGATGAGCATCACGCTCTCCTCAGGGACTGCAGGACATTACGACTCGCAGGACTCCTTATATTGCCTCATTGAACACAGATGGACTTTGGATGTTTGTCCTTATGTTGATAGATGGAAAAAAGCCACTGCTGGACAAATCATCTCTCTCCGATTTTTTTTTTTTTTTTTTGTTCTGTTTTTGTGAATGCTCCTTTTTCAACCCGTCAAGCCTGAAGTGGACCTGAGCAAAGCGGATTCTGGTCCAGACCTTTTAGGACTGGGTGTTGTTTTGTAGAAGAGGACCTTTAAATCCAAGAAGTTGGAAGTTGATTTAGGTCCAGTGACTGCTCCAGAATGTTGATGTTGTGCAATATGAAAAATAGCCAAACAAAATATATAAAGCGAAGCCTTTATCTGCTTTTAAGGGCTTGATTTCTTTGTTGATGCTAGTCAGTGAGTAGAGCCTTTTTTCCCCTCCTAAACTGGCTACCGATGCTGTTTGTTAAACAATCATGCCGCCTAAACCAAAATTGTCTAACGTGAGATTGTAAAGCTCCATTAATCTTGTGACGGTTATGTAGCACAGTAGCGTGACTGTGTAGTTTAGTGTTGAAGCTAAAGAAAGATTCAGACATATCTAATTGTGACCCTTACTCTCTCTAAGGAGTGCCATAATGTGCTGCTATGTCATAGACTGGAAAGTTTTCTGTAACCTTTGAGCCTGTCCGTTGTCTGTCGTTCTCTCTGTTTGTACTGTAATTAATTGCGACACAATAAATGGTTTATCTTCGTGTCTTCTTCTAGTAAACGAACCATTTTAAAGTTCAGTGTTCCTACGCATTGAATAAAATAAGCCCTTTTTAATTAAGACAATACAGGTGTGACATTTTGTTCTCACATTGAAAATGTTAAAGCATGGTGGAGGACCTATCATACTAGGGGCCTTGTTCTCTCTATATGAAGATGTGTGACATATTGGATATTTAAATACCTGTTGGACTCCCCTGATGAAAATGACTCATCTGTGGTTCTTTCTAATGCTTCAATTTTAGAACCAGAAACTCAGAAATTCACAGAATAAAATATTGTTGCAGGTAGCAAAGGTCAAAGATCCCTCTGTTGCACTTTGCTCCTACTTCATGTAACAGTGTGGAAGACTGAGAAATATCCTCCTGGTAAAAGGAGTTAAATCACTTTGAATTACTTCCCACCTGAATAATTTTTTCCTACTTTTGAAAAATGCTCTTATTAAAATGAATGCTGCTTTTCTTGCTAATAAACATTATTGTATCATTATTGGCTATCATGATAGAAAAATTGTTAAGTCAATATTGATACCCTGAATACAGACTCGATACTATTTCCAAAACTATTGGGTAAAAAATGATGCAATAAAGGCAAAAACAAAGGAAAAATCCACCCTTTCAGTCTCCATGCGGGACGTTCTTCTTTTCCTCAACAGAATCACTGATGCTGATTGAATTGTGCAAATAATGAAAAATAAATAACACAATTGAAATATTTTAAGGATGTCTGAACCATTATTTTAATCTGCAAAAATCTAGAATTTTTTTTATCAAGTGCAAAGATACGCAAACATGGCTTTTCTTTAGGATTGCTACCGTGCCAAATTAGAAAAGTGTCTGGATACAGCTCTAAAACATTGATATTTTTCAGAATAATGATAATATTTTACAACTTTTAATTTACCGTAAGATTTCCCGTCTTCATCAGGGACTTTTTATATTTATATATTTTTTGTGTATTAAAGTTTTAGACAATCAACAATGCAGCAAAACAATGATTAATTATTCAATTATTAAATCTGTACAACCTAATAAAATGTGGACAGATTTAGTATTATAAAGATGTTAGTAGCTATATTATTTTAATTTGCAGAGTATGTGCTGCAGCACACAACAATAGAATAAAAATACATATTTTTGTCCTGATGAATGAAAGTGACATAATTTAAACTTGTGTTTTTAATTGTATTGTGTTTTTTCAAGTTCACTAAAACATTTGAAAAAATCATAAATATACTTTATGTGAATGCAACAACAGTAGAATGATCACATATATTAATATTTTTTACCCACGTAGTGCTTCGTGCGTTGAAGGGATTTATATTGTTGAATAATAACTTATAAGAAGATCTTTGCCTTAGAATTAATAGGTTTTTGCTACATCAGTCTTGGCTTTTTATCATTTTTATTTGATCCTAAAACTTCACGTGTTTTTATTAAAACTTCTAAACAGAAATCAGAACAAAGATTTTTTTTGCTATCTGTTGCAAGACAATTTACGCAATTTTACTTTTTTTATTTTTACATAGTGATGATAAATCTATTTTAGATTTGTTGACAAAACAGGAACCAGAGAGTTTCTTTCCTTCCCACTTATTGCAGTGAAAATTATGTATTTAGCTAAAATAAAAGTTCTATCTATGGAATCAGAGAAGGCTGGAATTAAGTTAAAAATGTAAATAAAATAGAATCAAACCAATAGGATTGTTGAGTTTAAGTTAAACCCAGTTCCCAATGTCAATCACAAAACTTTGTGCATGCAAAAAAAAAGTCCCCCGATCATCTTTTCTTTTTCATTCTCTGACATGGGAGCTGGCTGGGAGCTCATCTGCCTGGCTATGTGTTTCCTGGACGGGGCCGCCTGTGGAGCTGGTTTACAGTTGCCTTTTGTATCTCTGCTTCTTTCTGCTTCTCTGCTCCTGTCTTCTTCAATCCCAGTCGGCCTCGGCAGATGGCCGCTCACACTGAGCCAGGTTTTGCTGTTAAAAGGGAGTTTTTCCTCTCCACTGTCACTTCATGCATGCTTGGTGTGAGGGATTGTGTTTGAGTCAATGAGTCTATGCAATCAGTTGGTTTCCCTTAGATAGAAAGTTTTGAACCAATTTGACTGTGTGATCTAGTTGAATGGTCTCTGTAAAGTGCCGTTAGATGGGATGTGTTGTGAAATGGCTCTATATAAATAAGCTGCATTGAATTAAATAGATAGCATACAATTGGGGATGTGGAACCACATTGAATTTTGTTGCAATATAAATGCTTTAAGCCATTTTAACTTGGGTGTATGGCTGGAGAGTCCAGCGCATTAAATCCTCCCTTTATATAGATGTTTCATTATAATGCGTTTTAATTTTTCCACAGAGAAAATAAAATATTTTTCTTTCATTTTTTATTGAGGAGACAAATATTGTTAATTTCGCTTTAATTAAATCGCCACAGAAAGTGATTACAGGGTTAAAAATCTTTGGGGGGGAAAAACATCATGACGTAAACACGTCGCGTCTACCTTGTCGCTGGTTTGATGACGTAGTAGTTACTGGGACGTTTGTTTTGCGCGACGTAACAGTCCAAGACAGGCAGCATTCAACAAATAACTGTTTTATTTGATATAACCGAGTTGATTTGCCTGGTAGTCAATATATCACATATTTGTTTATTTAAGGTAAGCGATTCCATATTTTTCCTCAGGGTTGTGCTTCATTTAGCGTTTCTCTTCTGCTCCTTCCAGATCTTTCCACAGCTCATTAGCCCAACATTTTGATAGTGTAAACACCTTTAGCTGTTAGCTGCGTCGCCCTAAATAAACCAGCCTCTTGTGTTTGCATCATGTGCATCTCCTCTCGCTCCTAATAAAACTCTGATGTGTTCATATCTAGGTTGGAGGTTCGCTACATTTGAATCAAGATGTCGTACATGTTGCCGCATCTCCACAATGGCTGGCAGGTGGACCAGGCCATCCTATCTGAGGAGGACCGAGCCCTGGTTATCCGATTCGGACACGACTGGGACCCAACGTGTATGAAAATGGACGAGGTTCTGTACAGCATCGCTGAAAAGGTTCGGTTAGTCCGTTTGTATTGAGAGAATATAAACGCCCAGCAGAGGGCGCTGTTTCTCCCCCTCGCTCTCAGGACAGACTTCATCACAATGTTGTCATTTCTGTACGGTGACAATTAAAAGCCATGCAAGACGAGAATCCAAATGAATTGATGGGAAATTAAAGGAAAGACGTTTATATAACCAAAGCAGCAGCATTTGATTAAAAGGAGACTAGAAACACTGGAACACATTGAGTTAGAGAAGCTAAAATAATCCTACAAATCCATGTGGTTGTTAGAGCAGAGTGTTTGCATCTTGGAAAGGCAACAAGTTCCCTGGTTTGAATCCAACAAAACTCCAACTAACTATTATTTTGCAAATCTATTAATTTTTCAATAATTTTTTTTCAAATAATGGATTAATAAACAGACAACAAAAGGTTCCTTAGAGAAGATTTTTTACTAAATTAAACCAGGTGAAACTTAAATGTTTCCACTTCAGGAGTTCTGGATAGAACATATTGACAGACAAAAAAGTTTCCAGTTTTTTTTTCTTAAATGTAAAATGTTTACATATATTTTTTTTTGAGATTTTGATGTAATTACTGCTCTAAGTGGGTCACTCTGTCAACTAAAGGCTTTTTATACAGTCTGTAAACTTCATTTAAATATTAATCGATTACTAAAATAGTTGACGATTATTTCAATTAGTGATTAATCACGATTAATCAGATTAATTGTTTCTGCCCTACTTTGATGCCCAAAATGCTCACTGGTAGCGATTTGTCGTTCCCAATGGATAGGTTAAATGCATACAACACATTTTATTTAAGTATAATTTGCAATGACAATAAAATATATAGATTATAATTGTGAAATCGGACTCTTCAATCATCAAAACAGATTTTGTAGAGTTAGAGTTTTTAGGGAGTTTATTTTAAGAGGAGAAGAGCTTGGAATATCAGTCAGATCTTTATATGCCAGTAATATCCTTTTATAAACAAGGAGCAAGAGCAGAGATCAAAGAGCTGGAGTATGAACCATTTCTATTGTGTTGTTAAACTTTTTTTTTATCTGCAAAACTTATGACAGGGTTCCTGCGGGTCCTTAAAAAGTCTTAAAAGGCATTGAATTCTTCAAAATAAAACCAAGGCCTTAATTGGTATTAAAATGTCTTAAATCAGTCATTCGTAGGTCTTAATTTTTAAAACATCATAAATACAATCAGGTTTATTACGATTTATTTTTGTAATCTAAATAAAATATAAAAATTGACAATTTTTTTTAATTAAAAAAAATAACGGCTTGCCATTATTGGTTCTGTCCCGATAGCGGAACCAATAAAAGCGTTGTTGCAGCCGGGACATTTGGGAGATGCTCCATTTACTTTTTGTCTGGAAAATCTGAGCAAGTGTAAATGCAACGAAAATTGGCTATCCAGCCAAGAGTTTTCTCCATGGCTAAAACCAGAACCAGGGAACATACATGAGGCTCAGTGTATTTTGTGCAAGAAGTCATTCAAGCTCGGAACGATGGGAATTAAGGCAGGGGAGTCGCACATGCAAAGCACGAAACACAAAGCGTCAAAATCCAGTTACCGAGAAACAGCTGGTATTTCTCGGTTTTGTTCCACCCTTGTCTCTGCAACGCCTCCACTTATCACCAAATCAAACATACTAAGAAAACGATACAAAGAAAAATAGCTGCAAAAAAGACTTAGCACTGGTTATGTTGTGGCTTTAAAACTGATTTGTTTTGTTCCCTGCTAAAACAAAGTTTGTGAATTCAGTTAAATAATTGTTAAAATATATCTGTCATTTGTTTGTTTTTAGCTTTCTTCCTGTATGGGAAGCTTTTCAAAATTTGAAACATTAGTGCAGTGGTTTATGTTAAAATAAACCTTTGGGTTAAGTTGTTGCAAGCGGGTTTTTCTTGTGTTTCTTGTGAATTTGGTCTTAAATTTTATTTCAAGTGGCATTAAAAAGTCTTAAAAAGTTTTGAATTTAACTTGCCTTATGCTGTAGGAACCCTGTATGAATAAACTCTTATAAATGAAAACATAATAACTCTGCACTGAGGAACACCCCCTGAAGTTATGTCTCAATTTCTTTCCATTTCTGCATCACTGATAATAAACAAACACAGATAAATCCTCCAGATTATAGAAAACATGTCATTACTTAAATAATCCCTTTTTTCCCTTCAATTTTCTACTGCAGGATTATTTCCATCATCACATCAGTGTATTGTAAAAAAAAAAAAACAACAACAAAAAAATGGCTCTGATTTTTATTGTTCGGTGTTAGATTGGTGCATCATTAATTGTTCATTCTAGTTGTGAACCCGTGTGATCTCATGCGAGTCCGTCTTTCACAACATGATGGTGTTAATATTGCAAAACAAAAACAGCTTTGTGTTCTGATTGTTTCTGTTAGCCAGTAGAGTATGATTGTAGTTTTTCCTTTTTCATTATCTGCTGTTGGACGTAGTTTATAAAAGCTTCTTTCTCCCGAACAGGTAAAAAACTTTGCCGTCATTTACCTGGTGGATATAACAGAAGTGCCTGACTTCAATAAAATGTACGAGTTGTATGACCCCTGCACTGTCATGTTCTTCTTCAGGTAGGAGACTGAGTCAAGCGTTAATACTTGAGGAGGGACTCTCTCCTCCACTGTTATAGGATAAGGCTATTGTGTATTTATTTTTTTTATTTATTATTTTCCAGGAACAAACACATCATGATTGATTTAGGCACTGGTAACAACAACAAGATCAACTGGATCATAGAAGATAAGCAGGAGATGATCGACATTGTTGAGACTGTGTACCGAGGAGCGAGGAAAGGACGCGGTTTAGTCGTGTCTCCCAAGGATTATTCCACAAAATACAGATATTGAATCTTCTCCTTCATCTGCCTCGTTTTTTTTTACGTGTTTGCTTTCCCACCTCGGTTTTTTCTTTGTCATCCTAGAGACTTTAAACAACAAAAAGTGACAAAAACAAAAAAGTCCCAGCAGTTTTATTATTTTTGCCTTGCAGGAGGAGAGGATCCATCATCATTTTCAGGTGTTACTGTTTGTGTTTCGTGTTTTATACCGTTTTTTTGAATATTAGGTTGTGTCTCGTTTTTTCAAGAGTTATTTCTGTGAAATAAGAGCGAAACAGACCAGACACCGAATACTTCACCATTATATTTGACTCTTCTAATAAATATGGATTTCTACTCAAACAGCCTCGGCCTGTTGACTTAATCTGAATTTATTCATCATTGGATGATCTTAGAATTTAAATGTCTGATATTTAGAGTTCATGATAGATGTAAGCCAAAAATAGAAATATTTTTAATATATTTCTGCATTTAATTAATCTAATTCATGATTTTTATAAATCAGTTCCCATTATTTAAAATACTACATATTAAAATGATTGCATTATATTATTTCAAATAACTTATTCCCAAAATGATTTGACTTTTAGAAAAATGTAAAAGGAACAGTTTTTATTTTTGAGCTTAACGATGGTATCAAACTGGATCTGTGGTTTAGAAACTCAAAGCATTGACTGGCCTTTTTTATTTTTGAGCTGTTTTGATCATTTTTAAAGCAAAATGAAGGCATTCAATTTCACACACTGATTATTTATTCAGATCTAAACCAGTAAAAACTTTTAAAATGAACTCTAAAGTTTTTCCTCTTGTCAAAAAAGAACTAAAATAGTCTTTAACAGCTAACAGTTTTTGTATTGCTGTATGATGCAACCAGTGAGAAGGTGATTAAATTCACTGGCTTTGTTAAAAAAAGAAAAAATTACATTAAAATAGACTAAAAACTAAAATAAAACCTTCCAGTCAAGGAATCCAACCCTGACTACTGCTCATCTATTGCAGCTCTTGCAAATACTAATCTAGTGAGTTTTATCAGAATAAAACGTGTTTATTCTATTGGGAAATAATAAGAATTGTTTTTTTATTGAAAACTCAAATTCAATGTTATAATTTATGCCACCATAAGATCACGTATGCCATCAGTTTTATTTTTGTATTTAGTAATTACTGCATCAAAAGAAAAGATTAACTTTAAAACAAATTCCAGTTGCCTTTCTGCAATAGAACTGCTTCTGTTATTTATTACTATTTAGAAATGTTGATCCACACAGTTCTGCTTCATGCAGATGGCGTTGTTTTGACTTTAACTGATCCTACAAAACCGGTTCCAGCATTAATGAAGTGAACTAAACAAGCAGTGTTTCCTGTGGTAATATATTTTTCTACAATGCAATGATTATCTCGATGTTCATTTTGAATGGAGAAGGACGTCATTTGGTTTGTTGTGTTATTGTTTTTCAATTCTGGGCTTTGGCTCTTTAAGTTGTACTTCTCCCCACTCCATTTGAGCATTATCATTATTATTATTTTAAACTGATAATTATATTTTAACTATAACTATTTTAATTATATCTTAACCTCTTTTGGTCTGAGATCATGAGAACCTCAGGAGAGGATGAGCCTGAATATGTGAAACCATTTCGATGGCGCTTCTGGTAGCTTCACATACTGTGAGGTTAAAAATTTGTGTCAAGAATGTGAAGCCATATTTAAAACATCTAAGCTTTACTTTTTTTTTTTTTTTTTTTACAGAAATCATAATAGGGATAGTAGCAGAGTGGAGCAAATTAAATCAACTCAAGCTAAAGTAAGCCTAAAACACTGTTGTACAAGATCCAAACAAACCCTTTCATACACTAAACCTGTTGGACAAGACAAGCATTACCACTAATGGTAAGAGACAGCCCTGTTATTACAAATGTGATTATGTCTTGGAATAGTATGAAGAAATTGTTAGTAGATTCTTCACTTTGTTTTTTCTAAATATCCCTTCTAAATAATCCAGATCTATCAGGGAAGGGTGCTGTAGCCAATATTTAAAGAATGGGAGTCATCAGGAATTCACTGTGCTCGATCTTTGGGAAAATGAATAATTGAAATTAATTGAGATCCTTAAAAATTAAGATAATGTTTTAAAGTACATCTACTATTGATCCTCTAAGAGACTTTACTAGAAAAGACAATTACAGTCAGTCAGACACACAACAGCTCCATTTCTAGCTTCTGTACATCAAAAGCATCTCCCTCAGGTTAAATTGTCAGGTTTAAGAACAACATTGTCACTTTGAAAAGAACAATAGACCCCAAATCAAAATAAAATATAAAATTTCAATAGATATAGAGATATGTAAAGTTATGAGGAGGGATTTTGGACACTTAGTTCAGGCATCTCAGGCTGCAGGATTCAAAACAAGCAGTTAAATCTGAGCAGATCTCCAGAGTTTCTTCAGAAACACTCCAGAGGCGGGATGCATGCGTTTACAAAACTCTCCACTAGATAGAGCCAGAGTCCTGCACCGTCTCTAGATTTGATCTTTGAGAAATGAAATAGTGGTTACATTAATGCAAAGAAAAAGATCATGGTTTTCCTGGCCGACAAGACTTAATCAAATTAAATTAACCAAGAAGAGAGCCCAGCTACAAATAGATGCTTTTTTATTGAACATATATGATGAGAGGTTTTAGTTTTGCTGCATTTGAAGAATGAAAAATAGATTTTTCTGTATTTCATTTCCTGAGCAGGAAAAAAAGCAGAATGATTACTAATTTCCTATTCATAACCAATCAAGTCATGTTTAATAAATTATGCTAATATAGAAATTTAATGTAATGTAGTTTTTCTTACTATAAATACTGATGTAAAGCTATTGACATACAAGAACCTGTGCCTTTTTGAAAAGGTTGCTTTTATTTTGCTTTCTTTTATATGTTAAAAACACGTCAGGTCTCAATTTTATGTATGCACATGATTTTGACTATTTGACTATAACTAGAATACCATCTCAAACTTTAGATGTGCATCTTACCATCTGATTCTTGTTTATTTAAGGCACCGACATCTTTTCCCCCTTCTATGTTTTTCATCAAAGAAAACTTCATTAATCCCCCCCTAAGACAAATTCAGAGTAAAAAGACGTATAAAAGTCACTGCGGTTGTTTTCTGGCTTTGGCACTGTATCCTGTAAGACCCCCACCAAGAAGGCCTGAGTGCTGAGCTGTCCCATCATCAGCTGGCAGCCAAAAACTTTGAACACACTCGGCTGCTCACAAATAAAAAACTTTAAGTCCAATAAAGCAAACTGCTTCATTTTAGGCACACCAGCTGACATCTGGCCCCTATTCACCATGACCTGATTGTTTTAATGAGCTCACTCTGACAAACAGTGACGTGTCCGCGGTAGAAACTGAACTGTATTTCATGTTGGGCTGTTTTGCACACAATGGCGAGGGTTGCAACACCCCCTGCCCCCCCCCTCCAGGCGTCTTGTGTCCTTTCCACTTACATTAGCCCGGAATCTGGCATGTCTTTGTCTGGCCTGTCCCTGCAGGGTTCATGTACAGCATTTCAGAGCCACTGTTTCTATATGGAGCATGGGGCAAAAGGCCGCTGCCATTGGTCCATTATAATTCAAATTATCATGCATTGTTATCTCCTGTTAGAGTTAATCAGCTCAGCCACAGGGGAAAGAAGTCTAGACAACCACGGGATAGTGACTAACGCCGGTCTAGACTTGAGAAAAGGTGTTGGATGTACAGTGAAGCTCAGAGAGGGATTCTGAAGAAGAGAAGGAGCTGAAGAAGAAGTGGGCTATATAGGGAGTCTGTATGGTTTGAAGCTGTTTAATCCCTAATCTGTTTTCAACTGATAATGTGTGTTGGGGGGGGGGGGGGGGGGGGGGGGGGGGGGGGCGACTATGAGGATGATCTGGGCGCCAGGGGGAAGACATGCTGGCATCCTGCCATCCCCTCTGTGTCTTCTTCCTTTCCAGGTCTGTCACTATCCATGTGGATACCCAGCATGTTGTGGGGGGGGGGCAGGATGTTTGCCAGTTTCTGGGACACCCTACCCCCCCTCAACCCTGCACTTGCCATACTGGCACTAGATCAGATGCATACGCAAATAATGTTTCTGCCCAGCAACCGTTTGCTGAGTCTGATCTAAACGCCTTACATGATTTGTGAATATTTGTCATTATCAGACAGTAATGGCTCAGAAGCAAGATGAGCTACTCTACTGCTTTAGAAATAAACATGTTAACTACATACCTGTCAAGTTTTGGATTTAGAAATATGGGGAATTTTGTGATATCCACTGCGAGCCAACTGACTGCTCCTGTCAAGTTCAGGTATGTCTTATGTTTTAAGACGTTTGGACCAAAATAGCAGAATAGCAGGTGAGAACAGCAGAGAAGATCATGGGGGTTCCTCTTCCCTCCATCCCAGAGCTGCTTGTCCTGAGCCTGTAACATCATCAATGACCCCTCCCACCCCCACCATGGACCGTTCTCCCTGCCGCCCTGTGGAAAGAGGCTTCGCAGCATCCGATGCAGGTCCAGCAGATTCTGCAACAGCTTTCTTCCCCACCGCCATCAGACTGTTGAACTGGTGAGAAAACTCTACATCATGTCACAGACTCAGCATCACACTGTCAACACCGAACCTAAACACTGCATAATTGCACCATATATATATATATTTAATACTCTGAACTTTCTGTCAGTGCATTTTTTGCACCATGTTTTTTCTTCCACTCTGTTTACGTTTGATCAATGCTGCACTTTAAGAAATGGAAATGTAATGAAAGCTGTACAATACGACATTTCGTTTGGTTTGCTCTCTGTGTGTAAAAATGACAATAAAAATTGGCCAAGTCTAAGAACTTGTCAACCAATTGTAAACTACAATAAGGGTAGAGTTATTGGAGCTTCATTTATCTATAATGTTTTTATATTTTACTACTGGCTTGTTTTTTTTGTTGTTTTTTTTTTGACAGTAGGCTGATAGGAAAGGGGGTATGAGAGAGAGGGAGAGACATACGGCAAAGGACCAAAGACTGGATTCAAACCCGCGTCGAGGACTAAGACCTCCGTACATGATGCAAGCTATCCACTGCACCCTGATTATACAATAATATCCAACATTTATGGGAGACTGATAATACGGGAGACTGGCAGGAAAGAGGGGTAAAACATTGTAGTTTCCACTGCCAAAACAGGAGACTTGACAGCTACGGCTACCTAGTGCATATTCACTGCTAGCACCTTGTGCAAGCCTGCATGTATGTAAAACTTTATTGAATTGCACCATTCTGGATAAAAAAATGAAAAAGTGCACCAACAAACAGAA